CTGGCAGCGCGCAGACTCCTACCCTCCCGCGCAGGCGCCCTAGGAGCGGGCGAGCGGCAGCTGCCAGCCTCGGCTCGAAGGTTGAGGGGTCTCTCTCTCTTTCTCTCTCTCTCTTTCTCTCTCCCCCCCCCTCCCTCAGCGGCTGGGCTCCAGGCCACGGCTGCGGGAGCTGCAAGAGCGGTTAGCCGTGGAGCGGCGGACCGTGGCCGAAAGAGCGGGAAGGCGCGAGGTGCCCAGTCAGCTTCGACGCCGGGTTGGCTCGTCTTACTCCAGTGGCCCCCGAGCGGCGGAGCGCCACGCAGCGGGCAGGAGCCTGCTGGGTGGGTCTCCCACCTGCCGACGACCATGGCCGGGTCCGAGCAGGACGGCGGCACCGGAGAGGCGCCGCTATCCTTCGAGGACTCCGAGCTAGCGCTGGTTGGAATCAATATGCTGCTCAACAACGGATTCCGAGAATCTGACCAGCTCTTCAGGAAATACAGGTACTCGCGCTCTTTTCCTTGCGTGGCAGAGAATTTTTTCAGCCGGGGCTGATAGACCATCGGCTGGGTGGACCGCCTGTGTTCAAGGCGAGCGGATCGTGGTGAATCGCCTCCCGAAATGAGAGCGTCACACATATATATGTGTGTGTGTGTGTATATATATATATATATGTATGTATGTATGTATGTATGTATGTATGTATGTATGTATATATGTATATGTATATGCATATGCATATGCATATGCATATGTATATGTATACATGGTATTCAGCTTTCTTCGGGTATTTTCCCACGTCATTATAGTTGTGCTTTTAAAGTTGTAGCAACGTTTCGGCAGAATCTCATCTGCCATCATCAGGCTTCTGTATTGTGTTCGTCTGTGAGAGAGAGAGAGAGAGATTATATATATATATATTTGTGTGTGTGTGTGTATTTTTGTGTATGTATGTATATATATATTAATTATATGCATAAAAAGGCCTTTGTCTTAGGGCCGCGCGGTCTTCATTTGCCAAGAGGTAAGAACTAGTAATTCAGCCTCAAAGAGGTTGAATTAGTATCGCCGAACTTGGTTTTTTGGTTTTTTAGACTGTCATTGTGACAGCCTTGCACAGAAACCTTGCACTTGAGCCTTTTTTCCCGTTTAGGATGAGGGCTTCCCCTTTCAGGTTCTCTTATTCCTGCTTGGAATCTCTCCAGTGAATCCCTCACATCTGGCCACATGCTTTCTCTGGAGGCAGTGAACCACTGGAGCGGCTTTTAATTCTGATTTTTGAATTAGTGCTTGAATTACTTGAATTAATAGCACTGCTTCTAAGCAGGTTGCCCTTCGCGTATAAACTTGGCGTGCATGCGTGGAGATCTAGAATACGACTTCCAAATGAAGGGTTGTTTTCTTTGTGGGTGTTGTCATAGCATAGAAAAGATCACAAATTGTCTTAAGTAACTTTAACCTCTATATACCAAGCCAGCTTGCCTATTGGCAAATGTTACAACCTATTCAAGAATTGTTTCAGGAAAAAAACACCACACTCCTTTTGATTAAAAGGTTTAAACTTACAGGAAAAAAATGCATGAACAGCAGTTTTAAATTAAGTGAAATGGAATAATGCTACAATGTATCATTGCTAATATAATAACCTTCCATAATTCCAAGCACCATTGGGGGAACAAGGTATAGTACAGACTTGTCATTTATATTGCGTGGATTCTATGCATTTCCAAATGTTGTTCTTTTTCCCCTCTTACATAATACAATTTTATGCCCCTGTCACAAGAGGACAAATAAAATGGAAATGTTCTGCTGTTGTTTTCCTTTTTATTCTACTGAAACTCCTTCCCTCTGGGACACCATCAATTCTTCTCACTGTAGTTGCTGGCACTTCTGCTTCACTTGCCCATAAATGAGTGCAAGAGTCATTGTTGTCATGAATTACTGCAGCAAGCCTGGTATTAATTTCTCTGAGTGTACATGCTTACCTTCCTATCTTCATCCATGTTTGCTTCTCATCCTTCCAATAGTAGTTTGGTGACTAGACAGAGCTGCCCTATACCATATTAAAGTTGTTTCCAGTAACAAAAATAATTGTATTTGGTCTAAATTCAATTTTCTGTAGGCTAGTTAGTAGTGTCTGCTTGGAGAATGTTAAAAGTGGTCATCATTTATCCTTTTTATTTTCCTCAGAGTTCTTGTTCCTGCCCATGATTTGCTTTTGAGTGTCATTTCAGGGAAGCAACCTCTTGATATCAGATTCCCTCTACTAGTATCTTTTCCTCCTCCAAACCTGGTAAACCACCTATAGTTTCTTTCCATTTATTTTCTCAATTTTAAATACTATTTAGTGTAATGGTATCATTCTCCTTTTCCTGCTTTCCAGCCTTTCCCAGGCAACTGCTTCCAGGAGTCAGACTGGTTAAGGCTTCTAGAATTGTAATCTCAGCATATCTAAAAAGCACCAAGCTGTGGAAAAGACTGCTCTAAAGCACCGTGAGTTAGGCTCCTAAAATAGCATCTAATAGCTTGCTTTCTAGACAGAAATCTGTCAAGTATTTTCCAATGGTGGTTGCATTTCCTGCAGATTTTTCAAATTGGGACATGGGGACACAAAGAGGTCTTCTGGGTTTCAAATAGCTTGGTTGCAGTGGAAACGTAATTATCCCAAGATTCCCTTTAAGCTTCCTTTGTTTACTATTAATCAACCCTAGACTTAGCAGGTGTTAATTTTTCCCCAGTTATATAACAAGGGACTTATTTTGCTAGTGGTATTGTTAGTCTTAACATGCCTTTGCAGTGGAAAATGGTTTAGACATTCTCCTTCAATGTATCTTATTTACAGTCTTGTCTGGTGCTGCTATAACACTCTTGGACAAGGAAGCCTCTGCTCAGCTGTTACTTACTGTACAAACTGCCATGTCATTTTGACTTCATTGATCCCATTTCTACCCCCTCCTGACTTGTCCTTTGTTTTTATTAATGTGTGTGGGTGTATTCTATTTCATCTCTCCATATTCACTCACAAGATGCAGAACATATTGATGTACTTTGTTCTACTGATGAGAAAGAAGCTTAAATGCAAATAACACATATCTTGTTAATGAGAGCGTTTCTTTGCTTTCTGCAAATATTTGCCGGAGGAGTACTGTCATCTTCTATTACATCCCCCTCTCCCTTTCAGTAGAGCAGATTATTTTCTTAGCCTTTCCCTTCCCTATCTTTCTCTTTCAAGATAAGTTTTTTCTATGCAGTCAAAGTAAGCTTGGTATATATCTTGAAATGCAGTTTCCAGCACCCAGACAATCTTGTTTAATCTCATAAAGCTTTAAATAAACTAAACTGCTTGGTACACATATGGGAGACTAGTAAGAAACATCAGAGCTGTAAACTAAATTGGATAGTTTGAAAACACATCCCAGAAGATGACCGTGTACATTTGTTTTATTTCTACAAAAAATGATCCGGATATGACCATGAAGCCCCCAAATCAAGCTCAGACTTAAGGAGATATTACATTTTAAGTACTTAAACCAATCCACTAAATATAGGAGATCCTCCAATAAGAACTTTAGCATGACATGGATGCCATTTTGATTTTTTTTTTTACAAAGAATGTCTACAAAACTCTATATCTTTTCAGAAGTTATATACAAATTAAGATTTTCTAGAGTCTTCTTTAAAATAATCCAAAATATAACAATGTTGACATAGTCATTGCAATGGCAATTGTTACATTTTCTGTAGTTTTGTGTACCATTTGGGAGCACTGCCATGCCTAATGCTCAAATCAACTATTAGTGGTATGGTAGTGACAATGATGCCAGCAGAGTCAGTTGTTAAACTATTTACTAGTCAACTAGTGCCTACAACCAACCCTATCCCAAAATACTTTGTGCTGTACAATAACAAACAAAGAAAAATAAGTCCAACATAGCAGTAAAATAACAATCAGAAAACTAAGTAAGATGTCCTAAACCAATTAATTAGGTGTCAAAATTTGTTGAAATTAAACAAGCAAAATATTAGAAGGTAAGATCATACATATTTCTGAGAAGAAAGTATTTTATAAAGTGGAGATATCAGAGAGTAGACCTGCTGCCTTGGCCACACCAATATATTTTATTATTTCTCTTATGTTTTTATTGCTGTTGTGAGCTATCTGGAATTATGGCCCATACATTTTGTGACCATATAAGTCTCTTAAATAAATAAATAAACTCAATAGATTACTTCTAGATGACAGATAGGCTGTCAGCCCCCATAGGTAGACCAGGCTAGGAAATTAACTTCTTAAGAAAACTGGAACTAAATTTATTGATACTGGCCTGGACATTTCAAATCATACATAATCTTGCAAGTCACTGCTCCCTCCTCTCCTGGTACTTATACTTCAGTGAATCAAGAAAGTATCTACCTGAGCTGCATCCAAATGTTAGCTTGTTTCTCAGGCCTTAAAACAATATTTCGGTCCTCATTGCCTAGGTTCTTCATATCTGTAAGAGATGATCAGGCTGAACCCAAGGGAGGGTCAAACACATCATCAACCTTGAGTCCTTTAGTGCCAACAGGAGATCTAAATCCAGCCCGCACTTGAAATCCGTTTATTGTTATCCATCACCATTTTGTTTTGACCATTACTAATTCAGATTCTTGAGGAAAACATTAATATACAATAAACCTATATTCATTTGAACTGCCTGGACTTCTGATTTCCTGCCACTTGACAATGTCTCTGTGAACATCATCCTTACTATCTGCACTGAACAAGCAGGTTCAATTCCAGCAAGGAACTACCAGAAATATTCCAGCCCTGCTCTAAGTGGAGCTTTAAAGGCAACCGTTAGCCCTTTGAATTGTGTCCCAAAGTCTAGTAGCCATCATTTTAGCATTTTTATTTTATTTTATTTAAAGCACTTATAGAACAACCCCTCATTCAACCAACTCATAAGTTATCAAAAATTAAAAGACCCATAAAATCATTTTAAGCTATAAAGCTGTTTTAAAATACTAAAAACAACACAAATTTGATGCCAATCAGTTCTAATCTTTAACATTAATTAAAAAATTAAAGAAATGTTTCAGCTAAATGGTGCTATAAAACTAATCCAGTCCAAATTAATATACAAAGTTCCTACAGGCAAACTGGATTCAGAGCAGAAGAAAGGTTAAGGATTCCAGGAAAAACATGTCACAGCAGAAGATTGATGGCCATGGCAGAGATATGGTCAAGGTTTGTAAGAATTCAATGCAATCTGATCTGAGGCACACAAGACCAGACTTTATGGGAAGTTCAAAACCTTGAATGCATTATCCACAATTTTCACAAAATTATAGCTCATGTCTAGGAAGTTCTAATTAGAGTCTGGTGTTTTAGGCCACACATTACTTATAAGGAATCCTGCTCATACTATAAGTTTCTTTCCATGTGCATGTGTTCCTTTCTTCTAATTTTGGTTGCCTAAAATAGATAATGTTCCCATTGACTTAGTAACCTATTGTCTAA